GACCTACAAGCTTCTAGATCCTATCACACAATAGAGACAAATCAGCGTCCTTATGGCGAGGATTATGCAGGTTTCTGCTAGCAAGCGTTTGATCGAAAGTGAGTTATGATGTTAAGGCAGTGGGTTTAAACATGCTTTTTATCGATAACGGCAACGGTTTAGACGTAAATCGGACGTAGCACTAGAGGGTGTCGAGATTCGAGAGGTAATCTCTAAAAGCCGTTGCACCTCAGCTTTATGACCAGTAACATCACTAGGCCAGGGTTATGGAAAGCTAAGTCTCGAGCTAGAGAAGTCGATCCTGAAACCTGCTGAGAGTGGTAGAAGGTAGCCCTAATTAATTCGCCTACAAATAGATTACGGGTTCTCAAACGGGTTGTTTGTATGCAATGCTGTGGATATTAACAAAATGTCCCCTAAGCCCCCTATCAGAATAGATAGATCAGAATGTTTACTTTCTTTTTGTTTGTTCGAGTATAGATTTGCTTTCAAAGGTTTTTTGGAAATAACAAGCTACGTAACGATATCAAAATCATGTACGTTGTCGTCGTCTCCTTCCTGGCTCGAGTCAAAGGAATCACTAACGAAAAGTTCTTACGATGGTACGTGTTAGGCCACCTGGCGCCCGTAATAAGGGTGAAGCTACGAAAGGAGAGTACTATTGTTGGTGTCTATAAAAGAAAACTATTTTACACCGTATCAATTTGGTCGGATAAGAGGCACTGCCGAATGAAGTTCTGATTTATCCACCCTTTTCCAAGATTGGTAAATCCTTCGAGTAAAAACGGTCAAAAGGACAAAAGCGGAATTAGATTTTATCGGCTTTATCACAGAAAAGATGACAACTAATGAAATACATTCAAGTTCCATTATGCTTTAACTAGGTAAAACTTAACCTAGTCGATCATGCTCTGCAACCTAATCTGGTAACACCTAATTCGAAAACTTCTTTGGGGGGTGGATTGGTTCTGAGACGTCTAATGTAGAGTAGTTCACAGTAAATGGAGAGTAAGTAACATGGCTTCACGAAAGGTTGGCGAGTTTAACTTACTAAGTTACTTAACCAATATGTTTAAGGCAGTAATGTGTTTTTTTTTTAAATAGAAATGCACCAAAACTTTATTTCTTCTATGTAGTAAATATGCAAGAAGGCATCTTATTTGAACGTCACACTAAGTATGAGAATATAGTAAAGCACCCTTTTAGCAGGTAGACGGCAAACAGTAACTTCCGATACTAACTAAAAGCAACGTCATTTCAAACAGCACTTGAAGAGAACGTAGTATAGTTTTTTACGTTTGCAAAAAAACAGCATTACAATCAGAGTCATAGAATTAACAATATTCGGATAATCATTCAGGAAGTGTTTTTACAGTTATTTTCAACGAGTGCTCACGTCTATATACTCGTAGAGTAATAGGAGGAACAGCAGCTGCTCAGTGTAGCCAATGGTGAGTTGTGTGCTCATTCACAAAATAAAATGGCATTGCTTACGCTGAGCTGTTTCTTCTTCAATTATACTGCTTTTCTTCTAATAAAAATTACAAATTGTTATATTGGATTATTGTAGAAAAATCAATTTTATAACACGATTCTAGAATAAACATTTAGATAAAGCTAACGTTCGATTTTTTTAAATACATATTCTACATGTATCGTTCAGATAAATCCGTGTTTCATAAATTTTAAGTTACACGTATTTTTTCATTCTCCTGACGCCCAGAGAAAATGGAAGTGTGGAAGATAATCACTTTAAAGGTAGGTTGAAAAAAAGAACGTGGCCATAGACGAATAAATAAAAATTAATCCTACGCAGCCTAGGACCTAAGTCCATTGTGTTTTGATTTCATCAGATGAAATCAAAGTGACCCTTATTGCATTGAGGAACAAAGGTGATACATTTAAAATATTTTTACAGGTTTAAACAATGGTAATACGAAGTAATTTGTATTTATACAAATAGCATCACTTGAATTATCTATGACAAAGTTCACAGATATGTTTTATGAAAACACATATTGACCTTTTCTTTGGGCCACCTTTAGTACCGTTATAATTATAGCCTACTAAGTATATTAAGGTGTGTCTTAGAGTGCAATTTAGTACCTAATAAATGTTTCAAGTTTCACGTCTGGAAGTGCTGGAAGTGTGGAATTGATTTTTCAGACCAAATCGGACGACGACCCCGCGAACAAGCCAACAATGCATTCAGTCGGATCAACGTCAAGTCGCAAAATTACGGAACAACATAGAAATTTGGAAACAGCGAGACTCTCGTAGAGACTAAGAAAAAAAAAACACGGAGTATTTAATTGAATAACATTCTTTATTCACACAGATTGTGTATGTATTACGTGTTGTCGGGCTCTTTGCTTACAAACCATCTACGAATTAGATCATTAGTAATTAACGGCAGTCTCATAAGCGACGAGTGTTGAAGTCAAAGTTTAGCACCGCGACCGGCGCCTCCTGCTCCCATTACTAGAAATTTTATCAAGTTAACTACAGAAATGCTCAAGTGTATTTGTTATTCTATATGTGAGGATACATAGCTATACACTTTTGGACAGAAATGCTCGTGCCATTGCGGCCATACGACACAAACGCGCGATAGATTGCTCTCTGAAGTAATGAAAGATTGCAGTCACGACCAAAGCGAACGTATAGACTGAAATCATCGGCCTATAGCTTAGCTGAACCTCGGTTAGATGAACATCCCTCATATGGAGAATAGGAACACTGAGTAGAAAAGGGCCGACACAAAGACCCTGAAGGGTACTCGAGGGCTATTTCTCTACAACCAGCAGTATTATTAATTGCAACAAAAACTTTTACTTGCCAAACAGTAAGTCAGAATGTGATCGAATATTATTTTCTCTTGAACTCTCGAACTTGAAGCAGCCTATTGACTTTTGAACTACTGGGGGGTAGTTACCCACCGAAAGCTTGGTGTTTTCTTTGTGGATTAGCGTGACTAGTGAAACTCAGAACAAATCTGCCCCTATAGGACCGACATATTGCTATGAAAAAATGTTCTGAAAGATAGTAGGGCAGACGGGGGCATCTTATCTGGGATGGACCTATATTTTGCAGGGAGCTCTTTGAGTTTGCAGATGGTTAGGACGGTAGAAGTAGTTCAAGATTGAGTAAAAAACATCGGGAGTTGTCCATTATTGAGATAGTTCTTTTTCCTGCGGAGCCACAAAAAGCCAAGACATAGTCGAGAAGCTTTAGCCACTCATTAGAGAATCGGTCATAACTCATTATCATCAGACATTAGCGATGACGATGCCTGCTTGAAGCAAAGTGACAATTCCTCGAAAATCAAACCATATACAAGGTTTTGTGTAATTTAGACTTGATGTGAAGTGAAGGGCCGCAATAAACCATATTTTTGAAACGCTACCTCGGTACCATTAATTCACTAAGGCGTTCTATGCATGCCGTTATTCAAAATAACAACTGAAATTGATTTCAAAGTTGCCAGTATAAACCCGAACATATTTTACCCCACTTGTATATGTGAAGCTAACGTCCGACCGTGCGGACGGCGCCAGTGCGAAAACTTACCTGACTCTGAACCTGTACCTTTCTAGAGTTACTGCTCACTCCCTTATTGAAACATTGTTGTAGTCTCAATATGTTGTAGTCTCAATATTCTGTTGCATTTACCCCGCTGCCCTATTACAATTAATTCCCAACTTTTACATCGACATATTTTAGCAATTATAAACAATGTCAACAAAAATTACAAGTTTACTCTGAATAGGTGCACATTTGGAGAACAAAAAAATATTTAAAATCCAACTTAGTGTCTGCGTTATAGAGGCGAAACAATAAACAGCTCAATATAATTTAAACAAATTTTCAATGATTGTTAAACAGATCACTAAACCAACAGTCTACTTGCCTAAGTTATTACCTCCGACGGAAAAGAAACTATGCCCCCCTCCTCGTTCCCGCCCCGTAAAAATATATTCTTCTAATTTAAGAACATCAACCATGTGCCGAGATGGTACATATTTTATCAACCATTTTGCAAATTAACCAAATTACCATAAAAGCCTCTGATATAATACGATAATACGGCTCGTATTTTATCATTGCTTATTATTTTCAGTAAAAATCGCCATTTTACCCCTTATTAACGAAAATTCATGCCTGTTTTGTAGGGTTGGGAAAAATTATTTCCCTTTTGTATATAAGTCTTTCAGAAAGTATTAACTGCTGCCGAGGGAAAGTCATCAAAAAAAAAAATCAACTCGCCCAAATTAGCATTACGCTCTATGGGAAAAAAATACTGTTCAGCAAATGCATAATACCAAAATATATAAACCATCTACAGAGAGAATATAACGGAATGAAATTTAACCGGAAAAGTACTCATTGATTTGAAGAATATAAGTTATGTGTCGTGACGGTTCATATTTCAACGATGCCCAACATTTTCGGCTCAAATCACCATTCTACTTTCTAATCACAAAAAGGAGAAAAGTCGAAGGTTCATCTCACAGCCAAAATCGACGGCGAAGGTAAGGCGTGTCGGCGGTTCGTGTGAAATGGGTGGTCATAGGGCGGGCAACACCTGTGGGCCTACACAGATGTGGTAACCTAAAAAGGCTAGCGAACATAACACCTTAAACTGAAATGAATCATAAAACATCGAGAAAAAAGCATAAACTTGGTATCAGTGCTTTTTTATTCAGTGCACATTTAAGCTTGCGTGATAGCAATCAATGTTCCTGTGCTTTCATTTTTTTCCACCCATTTTTGCTTGTTTCGATCACCTCCTCGTATGACAGCTCTTTGAATCTTCCCGGGTTTCATGTTTCATCCATTAGAGAGTGCCGTCATCTTGGCGGGCAATTGATTCTGCTGATGTTGTTGCTGATGAGGTTGTGTCGTGTTGTTTGGATGTAGTTTCGTCTGCTAGCGTCCGCTGCTTTAGCAGCTACCGGCAACATCAGAACCATCATCATCATAAACAACAACCGCAGAAACCCTGTTGCAAGAAACGGAGACAGACAGATAAACAGCCAGACAAGCATTTTTGAGTAGAGTATCATCAAGCAGGACTCTTGATGTTTTCATATAGCTGCGCCCGAGAGCCTGGATAATGAGTGTTTTACTCGCTGGCTGTGTATTGATGTTTGTGTTTAATCGTGTTAGGGTTTGTATTTCGTTGCTCGCGCGTCTGGCTTTGGCCGTCTGCGGGCGGCTTGCAGTGATGCTGGTGAATGCATATGTGTACGCCGTTGTGTTGTTATGATATTAATTGTAGTAGGGCGACGAGAGTGGTCACTGGTTAGTTGGTGTCTATTGGCCGTGTAGTTGATGGCATTATTGATCTGTTGTATGTTGTGCTGAGCTAAGGATATGCCCGTGGTAAAACTGTCTTGCTCTTTTGTGCTCCACCACTAATTGTCTTTGCGTTCGTGGCCATCGTCGTGCGAACAAGGAATAGCAGCAGTTCGTCCGTCTACGTTTTGTCGATCGGCGTAAGACATCGCAACGCGGTGCGATATGGCTGAATTTACCCACGTTGGCAAAATTTGCTCCGTCCTCAGCTGTAGTACCTTGGGTATGTTCACTGTATGAACCCAATCGCGTCGATCGGTTTCGATCTACGAAAAACAACTGCGTGCTCTACTACGTTGTGCGATGAAGTAGCCAGTGCAGAGGAGTGAATGATAAATAAGCATGCGAGAACACATAACAATCCGGCCCTTCTCTTTTTCTTTTTTGCAAAGAAGTGGTACATTTATAATTCCTGTGCAATGCAGTATTCGTCCACGACGGATTAGTGGTGACGTATTTGCCTACTAAATTTAAGGGTGGTTTATTTTGCGCCAGGGCGGTGAAACACGCTTCACAATTCCTGCTGGGACCAGCCGTGTCAAGCAACATTTAAAAGTCATAAGGGCATAATAGTCAAAGCTCTTAGTGCTATAAGAATATTTTGAAAGAGTCTCACTGCTGATAATGATATATCGTCATCGCAGTAGTGATTATTCCAGTCCTTGATTTCTCCATATTTATAACAGCCGGGTTGTGTTTGCAGCGACCACGCATGCAACGCGCAGTAGTTCACAACGGCGCGCTATTCTACTCATCGCAAGATAACAGCAGTCGTAGCCCTGTTGCCCTACCCGGTGAACTATCACCTTCCGAACTAATCCACAGGAAGATGCGGATTGGCACTTGATTTTTCTAATCGTATTGATCATCTTGTGTCTAACCAATTTAGGATAGGGCTGAAATAGAAGCTGCTGTTGTCTGTAACACAAAACAGAATCGAACGTGTTCTGCCTATGAGGAAGGACCATTAGTAGTTATTTGTTTGCTTCTCTGGCTGGTCCAACTTCTCGTTTCTTCGTGATGACGATAGCTTCCATAGGTTTACTAACGAAAACCTATTAGCTTTACCCGTTAATAAAAATACTGTATCGCTTACGTGCATACATGACCAGCGTGCAGTTGCTAAGATAACTGATAAGCAGAGAAGGGTTATGCGTGTGCATATAATAGTCACAAAATAGCGACTGTAGTTGCGACGGCCTCTGTCGCCGTTCCTGTAGTTGGACCAAGTGGTATCTCTAACTTTTGTATCGCCCACTTGTCTGTGTTAAAGTTACCACTTACATGTGGCATGATTCCATAAAAGGAATGAAACCCAACACACGTTCTTCTTGTTTGATCATCTCCTATATTGTGTTTGAAATAATAGTTTTTGTTCAGTCGCAAGCCTCTCTACTCAGCCGCGCAGGCGATTCGGAGAAGGCCCAATTTCGAAATGCACGCTATTTATTGCTTCTAGCGGTTGCGGGTGTCCAAAGCGTCTTCTGTGGCGTCCGTCCAACCCTGCTTTCGTGTCTACAGCATTTGTGACAGATATTTCATGCACTGTGAATCAGACAGAAGGGAGTTCATGGACTAATGGTATTTACTCTGCGTCGTGGTAAACAGTAGCAACCAATGGCGTTTAAGCGTAACTCATACCTACTTGTGCAGAATACATACGTAGAGACTGGCAACAACCGTTAGCAATTAATACAGAGCGAGAGCTGTTGTGAAAACAGGTTCCCGGTAAAGCCCGTTGGAACTTAATGTGTTGTTGTTGTTTGGAGAACTCAGTAAGTTGTATCGTTATCTAAAGGCTATTACGTTACGGTAGAGAATGGATTATCAAAATAATAATAATAATAATAATTGCGGTTGTATTATTCATAATAAATGGGCAAATAGGTTGTTTACTTTTTTTTATGTAGTGCTAACGCAAGTGACGTTAAAATGACGCGAACTAGTCATGAAATATTTTTTAACAGCCATTCACCATTCTGTCTTGGTTGCGGACTGTGCAGAAAACAAACCTGTCTTAACGTGCTTTCCACATGGTAAGGTGGTAATAAAAAATAAAGAGCCCTTCGCTGAGCTCATACTTGTTAATTGTAGATGTTATATCAGATCTTATAAAAATGAAATACGGATACGTAGCATTTAACTTGTAAACATAATGTTCGCTTGTTTGTGGAAGCATACGAATATTGTGTGCCGTGTTGCTACATTAGTCTCTTTTTTGAAGTAGCATTGACGTTTCATCTTAATAGCTAATAAGAGTCTGAATACATAGATCTTCGAGTGTTCGAGACGACTAAGCCTCATCCGATTTTTTAGGAAGTAGTGATGGCAATTATGCTGGCTCAAGTAAACTGAGTTGTTTCCGATGAAGAAGATGATTATGTAGCTGTTTAGAATAACACTCTTTTTCTCGTTTTGCTTGATTCTCAATATCACAGATTTCCTGCCAATCACGTGTTTGTTCTGCAATGGCGTGTTTTGGTAAGTAACTCTGTTATGTGAATTTGTCAGTCTTTACCTGAAACACTCGCAGCACTTTCTTCGCTGCAAGATTTTTTATGCGGATTATTACTTTGTTCTTTGTAATGATTTCTATACATTGTTACAGTTACGGTTATCGTATAATACTATTAGTTATAGCGAGACGTAAATCCTTAGACGAGTATAATTTATTTATGCATAATTTATTGCTGCCCTATGCGTCATGTTAGTTTTGGCGGTATCAGCGATGCCTGGGGAAGAAGCGAGCTAGTATTATATAAGCCACTCCGGGTATCTGCGTAAAATGTTCACGGTTGAAAAGAGAGTATTTATTTCTTCAGTAAGAAGAGAATGAGGCAGCTGGAGAGGCATATATAAAGACTATGAGGCCGAGTGCGCATACCTCGTGGCTTCTGTGGAGATGTCTCTTTTAAAACTCCAAAGCCAACAAGTTGTGGGACACTGCAGGCCGAGGGTCAGCCAAGAAAACTGTTCTGATCTAAACCATCGGAGAATTTGAGATCTTCTGGCAGTTGGCTTGTAAACCACAGTGAGACAACTTCATATTCAGTTGTTTACGAAACTGTTCAGAGAACGAATGTATTTCATCTTTAATTAACGTGAACTTTTGTATTTGACATTAGCATGCATTATTATTTATCCTATTATTAGACAATACAAGAGACTCTAATTCAATGTTAACTATTGAAATTAATATGTTTGATTTATTGACTAAGGTGAAACAATTATCAAACATTTATTCCCGCAACAGTATTATTAACTCTAGGATAACAAACGTGATCATACTCTATAATTAACTGCTTCATACATATCCAGTTAATAATTTATTTTTAAGCTCTCCTTCAATTTGAAAAAGTTAGTTGTTTTTAAATCTGTTCATCCGTTTTTTTGGGGTTGAGATGTCTATGGTTTTATATTAATATAAGAATGGCAAATGGGAAACGTTGAAACCAGCATAAAAACGTCAGTATGATTTAGTAATACTTAATAAAGAGGCTTTTGTTTTATAAATGAGAAGTCAAGTGCGACTTTTCAGATGGCCAGATATAGTCACTGGAATAAAAAGGTTAAAAACAGTGCAACCTAGCGCTATAACAAGTAATGGATACTGCGGTGTTCAGTAACATCTTAAAAGCACGATATAACTACACCTCAGACGCCAAGTCACCCGTTGGCCTTTACTTGACAATGGCATAGCAAACGTTATATGAATGAATGTAAAATCGTCTGACTAGAGCAGATCTCTCCCCGCATGTCTACTTCTTAAAGCTTTAACACTTAAAACATTTAGATCATGAAATCATCATTTTGTCATCTGAAATATTTACATTAGCCTCTGCATTGGCGAAACATAATTATGCTTTTTTTTTGCATCTGAACGGGTTATATTGTATGGGTCGCTACGTGTGTCTATTTAATTGGAGTTTTTTAATTGCTCAGATTTCATTTCGGAAAAAACATTACCCGAATCTTTACGAATATGTGTCGCATTAAGTTTTCTAGCTTCGAGTAAATAAAGAGTTTATTCATGTACTCTCTGCTGTTAAATAAAGTGCATTTTGTTATCATCTCCGAATGAGTTTTTTTTCTTTTTTGTTGGACTGAACGGATGACACGTGTGGTTGGGTCGTAGACCTTTGAAATCAAGCATGGCAACCTTGTGCTGCGTTCCATCGAAGATTTGTTCTAGCACAAAAGAACTAAGATTTTTCTTGTCAAGCTAGAGGTGTAAGTGGTCGCCTTCGTACGCGTTTGATGGACTCCTAAATTACTTTCGTTTCGGAGTTTCGGAGTTTTAGGCGGGACTATATTGCGACTGTATTCATCTGTCTATTTGGCATGTGAAAGTGATGTGTTTGTCCCGTTTGGCTTGACGTTTTGTGACAGTAGTTGTCTTACAAGCGTCGAGATGCTCTCAGGGGTGGCAAAGTAGACTGTGTGTACTCTGTACTTTGCTGCTAAATGTGATTTGAGTGTACCAAATCACGACGAACTGTATCTCGCACTAGCTATCAGTGTGGTCCGCTAACCGTACGTGTTATCCGTTTCAGAATAAACTTCCACTTGAACGGTCGATCATCTTATCCTCCTGATCATCATCAGCAACTGCCGACGGGTACACATGGTTCCGAGGTTCGCGGTTACGGACACCACCCGTTAGCTTGCTCCAAGCTGATCTGTTTGAATGGTTTCCATCAGCTGCATCAGCAAAATTCAGCATCATGCCTCCGTCGTCGGGTGAACTATACGATTTTCGATGCATGCCACAAGAAATTACCGTGGATTGCCTCTTGCCAACTGGAATCATAGTACCACTGGGATGTATTCGTGAAGCGACGTTGGCTCAGGTGAAGACCAATTTGTTCCTCGAGGCGCGCCATTATCCGCTATTCGGCCTACTTAGGGAGCCAGAAAATTACAGTTTTGTTTCTGTTCTACAGTCATCCGATCTAATCGAATTTGTCGATGAAAATCGACGGTTATGTGATCTTCGCTTGTTTAAGCCTCTGCTTAAACTAGCCGAGTCCAGTGAAAATCCCGAAGAGAGAAAGACTGAGGCAGCCATTAACCAGGCGGTCGGTGGATGTGTACATGACTTTATGCACGACCAGGATGAAGAAGTTGTCCATTTTCGCAAACAGATTATGCAGGAGTGTGCTGACGTTGTCAGTAGAAGAGATCGAGGGACCGTGGATGACCGGTTGGCCTACATCTATCCACCGGATATTGAGATGGTCACTGAGCTGCCAGCAAATATTAAAGCTCGTCTAAAATATGATGGAAGCTTTGACGTGAAAATGTGGGTGATTTATAAAAACGATGAGTACACGTCATCCCATCTAACGCTATTTCCAAATTCGAAATCCAACGATCTGTCGGAAATGGCAGTGGAGCATTTAGGTCACCTCATGAATTCAAACGAGCCCCATGTCGTGAAGGTGTGCGGCCAAAAGCAATACCTTTGCGGACCATACGAGCTCGGACAGTACAAGTACATACGTGAGTGCCTTGCTAAAGGGCAACTACCTCAGCTGATGCTCATTCCGAGATCGAAAGTGTATGAGGAGGTTCCACCAACGGGCTTTCGGTTGCCGAGCTATGCCCGCCGCAAGACAGGTGCCGATCTTGTCTCGCGTCAAATGCTCTATCACATAAACGACCATTTTAAGGTAAAGATCATGTCGGCGTATTATTTAAATGTTACAAATGTTGACAAAGTGTTTGTTCGCGCTGGCATCTATCACGGTACGGAACAATTGTGCCAAGAACAGGACTCCAAGAAGGTTGATAACAGTTGTCCGGAGTGGAAGGAGACACTCAAGTTTAATCTATTTGTGCCTGATATACCCCGGAGTGCTCGGTTATGCATTTCGGTCTGTGCAGTCTTAAAGAAAAGTCGAGAAAGTGTTCAAATTGCATGGGGCAATGTGCCCTTATTTGATTTTCGAAGTGTATTGGTGAGCGGGAAGATGAAGTTGCCGCTGTGGCCAGTGCCAAAAGGCCTCACGGAGCTGCTGAATCCGCTAGGTACAACCCAACGTAACAGGAAGGCTGAGTGTGCGGGCCTCATGATTGAGTTCGACAAGTATTCACCGAATGTTCGCTACCCAACCTTCGATGAAGTTTGCTCTAACGGACAGCGGTTCCTTGATGTCAAGGACTCAGAAAATCCCAATTTTGAAACGAAGGAGCTTCTGCATGAGCTCATTAAAAAAGACCCACTGTTTGAAATTACAGAACAGGATAAGATGCTAATATGGACTTATCGGTATTATTTGAAGAAGCATTTGCCTGACTCCTTACCAAAGGTCCTTGATGCCGTTGAATGGAACAAGCGAAATCAGGTGAGCGAAATGTACCGATTGCTTAGAGGGTGGCCTCTGGTGTCACCAGAGATTGCGCTTGAGCTACTCGATTGCAAGTATCCTGACGTCTTTGTCCGTGATCAGGCGGTCCACTGGTTGCATCAGAACCTGCCGAACAAACTGTTGGCGCAGTATCTCCTGCAGCTTGTCCAGGTTTTGAAGTATGAGCCTTACCTTGATAACCCGTTGGGCAAGTTCCTCCTACGACGTGCACTACTCAACTATAGCATTGGGCACTACTTTTTCTGGCATCTTAAGGCAGAGATGCACGATCAATCGGTTGCATTTAAGTTTGGCCTTTTGCTAGAGGCGTTCTGCCGTGGTATGGGCTCACATCTACGTCCCGTTGTTCAACAGGTCGGAGCATTAGAAAAGTTAACACAAATTACTGACGCTTTGAAAAGTGATACCTGTCGTGACAAAAAAGCTTATCTCGATAAGCAGCTCGCCCAGGAAGACTACCTAGACGTTCTACAGAACTTCCCGTCGCCTCTAAACAACACAAAGCTGCTCGGCGACTTAGAGGTAAGGCTTTTCGTTGTTCTGGCCAACTTTTGTAGCTAACTAAAAGATCAAATCAAATAAAGTTCTGCTACTATCGAATACTGTGGATTCTTCGTAAGCCATTGATTTTATACAATATGTCTGTGGGGTTTAATTTAATTAATGACATAACGCTTTTTCCTTATACAGTAGAAGCCTGTAGGTTGAAAAGATTTAAAAGAAGAAGACGTTCCCTTCCATTGCTATTATGTTATCCTAACTTTAGTCAAACACAGTATAACCAAACATGTGGTTGTTAAAGAAGTTTCATGTAATACTATTTATCATTATTTCATGCCTGGATTATCGCTAGCCCGGGTACTAATAAAAATATTTTATACCAAAAGATTTACTGAAAACAAAGGTTATTGATAATTAGGGCGAAAAATTAATGGTGTGGGTCTCTGTCCATCTATTCAGGTGCCTAGATGCCGAGTCATGGGCTCTGCTAAAAAACCCCTATGGCTCATTTGGCAAAACCCCGAGTTTTTGGGTGATAACAGCTTCCTAAACTACCATCAGCTCATCTTTAAAAATGGTGATGATCTACGGCAGGACATGCTCACCTTGCAGGTCAGTACAACAAACAACAAGCGTAATTACAGGGCAGAAGTTTTCGAGACCTGACGTTTTATCCAATAAGATCTAAAGGCATTGCCATATTAGGAAGTTATTTAGTTTCCGTATTCGTCGTATTTAAATTTCCACGTATGTTTAAACACTTTATGCTAAATTTGATTTCTCGTTTGATCCATTGTGTAGATATTATTGTTGTGATTCCCACTTTGTCTGTACGTGCCCAAGTATGTACAAGTAAGTGTAATTAAACTATGGAATTGTACATGTAGCGTAAAACAGTATGTGCTTGATCAAGGGCTAGCATTCCCGATCCGACTAAATAAATAGTTTCGTTCTTAGTAGTCGTAACATTAAGAAGTTTTTACTGAGAGTGGACATAGAAAATTTCTTAGACATTCTAATTATCGCTTTTTCTGTCCCTATTTTATTATAGGTAATCCGAATAATGGATTCGATATGGAAACAGGAAGGTCTTGATATGCGGATGATGCCCTATGCAGTTTTATCTACAGGTGAAAATGTTGGCCTGATTGAGGTCGTCAAAGACGCTCTCACGGTCATGGACATTCAACGCACGAGTCGACTGTCGAAGTTTCAATTTGACTCGACGCGTCTCCATCGGTGGATCAAAGAAAAAAATCCAGATGAACGCAGTTATTTAGCAGCGGTGGAGACTTTTACGCACAGTTGCGCTGGGTACTGTGTAGCCACGTTCATTCTTGGCATTGGCGATCGAAATCCGGATAATATTATGGTTAATGAGGAAGGCCAAATATTTCATATCGATTTTGGTCACTTCCTCGGTCATTTCAAAAAGAAATTTGGCATCAATCGTGAACGGGTCCCATTCGTCTTAACAGAGGACTTTCTGTGTGTAATAGCGCGTGGCGAGGATCAGCCGCATAAAACTCCTCACTTTACGGCCTTCCAGGAACTCTGCTACCGTGCCTACTCTATACTTCACAAACACTCGCGTCTTCTAATCACTCTATTCACAATGATGCTTTCGACTGGAATTCCCGAACTACAAAGCATCGAAGACATTACCTATTTGCGAAATACCTTGCAAGTTGACAGGGACGAAAGTGAAGCACTTCACTATTTTCAAACGCAGCTCAGTGATGCGTACGGTGGCGCTTGGTCCACCAAGCTTGACTGGTTCTTCCATTCAGTCAAACACATGTAAACCGCTAAGCTATGATTATTAAGAAGTGGACGCTAATTTGAGACAATTTACAAGCAAGAAGGCTACAAAAAAAGCAAATCAAAAAACGAACACAGGTACACGCAATCAATTTAGTCAATCTCGTGGACTCATTTATCTAACTAACCAGCGGTCCCATAGGTTATTTTTATGTTATTGCTATGTCACTGTCACGGCTGATTTTGTCGACTGCGCAAAACATGTCCTAGTGAAGACATCTGGCAGCCGCATAGATCTTGAACTCCATGAGGTGAATTTTATGTGACAAGAACGGGCTGGTGGAATTTTGAAGTGTTGGTATTTGACGGATATATATCAGATAGATATTCATATACCATGCATTGCTTGATCGTTTCACGAATTCACCAAAGTATGCGTACAATTTCCGACGGAAAGGTCATTTTACCGATTTTTTTTCAGTGTCAACAAAAAATGAGTACATAACTATTGAGGCTGAAGTCTAAGTATGCTTTGATTGAGTCACGTTAGCTACCTAGACGCATCGTCATTACTTTGATGTTAAAGACACACATTTTAAAAAAGTAGTGGGTTGAGCCTGACAGCAGCAACTGGGGAAAAAGTGTTTGATTCTCTGCCAACGGGAAAACTGTGATGAAAGTTACCCGTGTGTATATTCAGATGCTGATTTTACCTGATGCCTGAAATGTAGCTTATTTATAGATTCTCTCATAGAGGTGAACTTGTGTTGGCCGGAACATGTTGAGGTAATTGGTTATGCGATTATAGCCGGATTGAGCCAAAACCAAACAGAATTCAGCTCAATTCTGGCGCTGGCCATTCGGAGTGACAGCTCAGTTTCCAGACATCAAATTGTGAACTAAACTGCCCTTCATGGCGTTGTACTTGCTCCGGAAGGTACAACCAGTCCAATGAAGAATCTTTTTTTCAGTTCTTGCGACTCAGTTTCTCTCAGTTTCGTCTCAATTGCAAAAACGGTGAAGGTTATTGACAAGCAAACACGCATTTATCGTTGTCAATACCTTTGGCGCATTCCTGAAGCTTAAATTCTGACGAACCTGTATTTTTCATCATGATTCAATATGGTGCTACGTTTTTTCTTATTTGTATTAACTGTATTAAGAGAAGTATTGCTTTCAATGAGCATTTTTGTTTTAGCTACTGGAAACAAATACGGTCAAACCCATTGGAAATCAACACTAACATGTATATATACTTCTACCCTGATAATTTTCTAGAGAGTTGTCAACCCCTTCCCACGCATTAACAGCATAAAACACATAAAAAGTCTTGTCTAAAGGATGTACATTCTCGTATTATGTGTTTATTCTTCCTAACATCGCATCCATTGCGGAATCCAGCTTTTGTTGCTGCCTGTATAAGGGAGTGGTAAGCCATGTGGAAACTTTTTTTGCTTAACACCTCCGTACAGCAGCAGTAGCAATCAATACAGGGGGGCAATTACTGAATATTTAACTTCGCAATCCCGCGAGTAATATCACTGCAATATGAAGTCCTTAAGATGAAGATATGCAATGAAAGCCAGATGCGGCACTCGAAAAAATTGAAATCGGTCAACGTGTTAAGTCCCTGTGAGTTAATGATAATTGCAGAAAAAAAGTTAATGTTTAGAAAAAGGTATCAAAAAAATCGACTTCTCGATTTGTTCAAGGAAAAAGCACGTGCTAGTTTTTTCTTTCTCGAAAAAAAGCTTTCGTATCTACCAGTGACTGGTGACAAGCCTGGAATAACGGAAACATCGAAACTATCGCTTAACCGTATTGAATATATTCAAAATCCACATGTTCGCATACGTTCGGTTTAATTTATGTTGCCCATTCAAAACGATAACAGATCCGCGCGGGTATTTCACTGGTATAGTTTAATATGAAGTTTATGTACACACTAACGGTTAAGCAGAATTGAAGTCGGGGCGAATGTTTGGTGGCATCATAATATGTTCTTGGTCCGTACGCCCGTGCTGTGATAAAACCATAGTCGTCGCTGTTCTGTGATGCTGGGCGAGGTTGGCATATTTATGTGAATTATTCTTCTTCACCTCTTACTAGGATTGCTAGTAATGTTAATTTCAATGAAAATTGAAGAAAGGCAGGATGGTTTATTATTTGTTTATGTAATTGCACTAGCAATAGTCGTCATTATCAGGTCGATTGTCATTATTTATGTAATCACCGTTGTTTTGTGGATTAAAAATAGCCATTACTTTAGTAACAATGTTGCATGCTATAGTTGCAGTTTACCTTTGTTGATAATGTCGACAAGTAAACAACTTATATATTAAACAAAAATTAGTCCTACAGACATATAGAATGTTAGGTAGAAACTTAGTCTCATTTAGACATTTGATAGATATTGACGTTAAATTGGTGAACATTTGTCAGGATGTTGTTGTTAACAAATGGACGAGGCTAGCGTTCTTGCTGTTGTCGGATTGTCCTCAATGGACGTTCGAGTTGAATAAGAAATAAGTAATGTTTAAAAAGCGCGAACTTCAGTTAGTTGGAGGTTGCAGCTGCCGTTGATGCAAAATAAAATTAATCTGTTATACACATACAAAATAATAATAAAAACAGAAGTTTTTTTTAGATTTAAGTAACTATTGTAACTAAGTGATGTAGAAGCGCTATAGGAAAATTTACGAAGGGAACACCTGCATTTTTTTGCCTTGCCTCTGAGTAGTAACTCTCTGATATCTGAATCGTAGGCGGAGAACATCTTGGTCATCTCAGAAATGTCCTAACCTAATAACCGTATCTGATTAACTCTTATCGTCGCATGTTAACACAGCAGGTTGCGACATTATCTTTTTGTAAACATTTCATACTGCACTAAAACGTTCGAAATATCGAACGGGGTGAACGACATATAAAATGCTTTTTGAAGTCGCTGTGCCGTCGCTGTTACTCAGTTACAAAAGTAAAAAATTTTCTTGTTTTCGGTCCCATATAATTAATTAAATCACCAGTTCAAATACCTACCTGTTCAGACCTGTTTAGGTCATTGAGGGAGCACCTCCTTCTCAATGTACGACAGTCATTCTATGTTGACATCAACTGTTGCCGGTAAGAAAATGTAATAATAATAATTATATATAAATTATGATATGAACGCGAAACTGACTGATAGCTGGTTAGATGTACGAGTTGTAAGCATGATGTAACTGGAGGTAATGAAGTTCAGAATTTGTCCTTTGCCGCTTATTCCTCTAACTCCTGTAATGTGTGCCGCAAACCTAATAACAAAAAAATAGTGTTAATCATAATTTTACTTGAAAAGAGTAACCGCATCAATAAGTACGTACATATAGTGCACGCATATGACGGATAGTCAAAAGTGACATCAAATAGCGAAATTTGTGAGGAGTTGCTTAAGAGTTCAGCCAATTGCGATACAGAAGATGAAAAGCAAAGACATAAATAAAAGTATTTTGTGAATAAACCACGATCGTGAAATAAAACAAAAATTATTTATTTATCTATTTACCAGAGATATCAGGTGTTTTTCTTCCACGTATGAAATTGTGGAGAAAACTGAGTTTCGAAGGAAGGAGCATACGTTTTTTACCGTAACAGCATTTAATACTTTTAAGCGGAGCTGCCAAACATTTATGCTACACATGCGAAAACGTGGGGATAGGCAACTAGTGAGATAAAAAGTCTATCTTAGATTGCTTTTAACGTATCGTAAGTACGTTTACTAATGTGCAGTTTTTAAGATATCCCGGTAATAAACCTTGTGCATGAATCAATTTTATTTTTATTTTAGTTACCGTCGCAAATTCATCCTTAAAATGTTTATTCTATATATTATATAAATTGTATTTTTTCGTATATGATATCATATTATTACATATTTGGGTATCGTTTCATTGACATACTTTGCGAACCTCTCAAGGAATTGTCAAAATAATAAAGGAAGTATATAATACGTTATTCAGAAATACAGGATCGTCGAATCTGACAGTCGTATGTTGCTTAGGTTTTAAAATGTGCGCCGCAGATAATTAATGCTAACCCTTTTTAGCTTTGTTTTTTATTCTTTTACCCACGTCTCAAGCCACTTGAATATAATCGATTTCAAAATGGCGATCTTCACCTTGAAGCATTTCGTGGGAAGAAGTTCTTTAGCTACCTCAATAACTGTGTCTGCAACATTATCTGTTTCAGCAAAGAGCATGCCAGCGCTTTGAATCACACTTGTGTAAATGACGTGAGTACAATATCCACTATTTTAGTTAGCATATATGACTTGTTAAGTCATATATATATGCTAATTAAAAATATATACAGAATTTTTTCAGCAAATGAAAATCGATGTCCCTGCAGTGTTTAATAGCTATGAAAACAAAAAGAGACCTGTGAATTAGGGAAATGCTGGCTTATAAATTTTTCCATTCACTTTGGAATAAAATTTTCGCTTGCGTAGGCCGAAAATGCCCTTTATATATTCCTAAAAAATAAGTCTTTGACATCAGAGTTCGATAGTTATTAATAACCTAATTTTTACTGTCTTGTGCTTTTCTGAACCGCGACTGATGGCAGAAGCGACTAACTGCCGAAGAGGTGGCCAATTTGCAAAAAGCTGGCGGTGGCCTGCATCGTTGCGCCTTCAGTGGATGCTTGACGCGTGAATTGGTTGCTGTGATATGCCACTTTTGCAAACGGAACTACTGTTTTCCTCATCGCCATCCTCCGAGCCACCTTTGCATGCAAATGCCCAAACCACAGGCAGAGAAGCATATGCCTAGAACCGCTGCTGTGGTCAGGGATATCATCCAGGGTAAGACTTACATCAAATTCGAAAATCAGACAAATTATTAATGAACTGAATAATCTGCTTCAAAAATATGGCTCGCTGCTTAGCGGTGCCAGGCTCCAGATGGACGTGATGAATCATAGCTTTTTTATGAATTAACCTGAAGCACAGTTACGATAGGATTCCGCGGTCAGCCGATATTCACTGCAGTCGTCAGAAGATCATGTTGTTTTGTAATATCAGATGCTTTAGATCTCGCTAGATATAGAATTTTGCAAAACTTTATAGGTGTAGCGGGTCAAAAAGATGAAAGAAACGAGGAGTCAGGATTCTCTGCAGTAGTTTCATCTCATTTACCTTGCGAACCCTTTTATATTTCTTCGTATATAATTTTTACAGCCAGAAAAGCTATTATCGCCGCGGCTGAAGCATCGCCCGCTGCGTCGCTTGCCCGACAGAAAAAAATTAATCCGACTGCTTTGAAGGTGAAGCTAATGAAGCTTAAAATGAAGGCTCGAGGAGATAAAGGCCTTCCAGAGCACGAAAGAGTTTACCTTGAGATCCGACTACCCGACGGACAGCAGAAGCCATATTTCTTCTCAAAGGTTACGTGGATTTCATTCTTTTCCTGATCGCCATTATTTAAGTAACACCGTTTTGTGTATGTCTTACAAATCATGGTGTCTTATGTAAATATTATGACAACATTAACGAATAGCAAAATGTTGTTGCTTTTCAACGATACAACACATTTCCAGCTGTGGACTGTCGGACGTTGTATGGACTATGTATGTGATAATGAAGGAATCCCTAACGACAATAACCGAGTCAACGCTAAGGTAAGCAAGTGCGTTATACAAGTACACGACCTATTATTAGGACATTTACAGTTTATGTATCTATTAATATTATAAATAAGATCAATCAACGGTATGATATTACAGCAATTCAAAGTTGTTTTATTTAAAATGATCGTAATAATAATTAGTTAGCCACAAGAGTCGTACAATGGAATAAATTTACAAATATCAGAGTCAGCCTTTGTGAATGATTCAATTATTAGGAAAAAGCAATTCTATACCAGAGTTTTACGCATAGCATTAATACAAATAGGTAATTGCTCAAAAAATGCATTTCTTTCTTAGATAGTATGTTTTAGATAATTAGCGCCCACGAAAATTTTCCCTACATCTTATCAATATTTTTAACCTTATTTAAATGTTTAATTTTATTTCAGCGTCTTTTCCTCCAGTCAATGGAACGATCAGTAGAAGGCGGCTTTTCGCGTTCTCTAGATCTGTCGTCGTCAATGGAGAGTCTTTTAAAAAAAGACATAATTCGAGAGGCAGATGAGTTAAACCTGACTTACCATGGTAGTCAATAACAAGTACAAAAGGAGCCGATCATAAGAAGTTTATCTGCAGTCCTGCAAAGGCCTATATTAGAATATGAACCTGGATAGCTTGTGTAGCTATATGTGATGTGTGATCCTCGAATCAAATTTATTTTTTGCAAAATCTGCTGCATTTAACAGGCTCTGTCAGCATCAATAAACGCGATCTATAGGGCTCTAAATGAATTGAGGCATTTATTAAATATTTGACCATACGTTCGCTATGCTGTGTGAAACTTAGAATAACGTGTCCGATGATAGACTAAGTGTAGCTTCTATATCAGCTTGTACATATGTAAAATTGTGCATATAATGCAGTGCAAAAAGCGTAGTTTGACAAAGGATTCTTATTAAATGTTCCAAAAGGATACATGCGACTTTCCAGTTAGTACCTTGTGAAGTGCAAAATAATATAGTATAAATAAGACACATAATCACTCCCCTCTAATATAAAGGGTTTTTCAAAAACAAAGTTGTTTTATATGAACTGTTATTTTTACTATAAAAGCGAGTGATATATTTTATAGTTTTTTTTTTGAGAACAAAAATATACAATTATTTTTTTCGTATCATCAAAAATAGAATATGAAGTTCAGTCAGCCTTTAATATATTGCAGGTCAGCGCCATTTTATATGTAGTGGTTAATGTGGTATTTGGTTAAATGGTGATTGTGTATTATCAGATCAAAGTCGTACTCTCCGCGTATCTACATCGTTACTTTTTTATTTACGTGTGTCTAGCCTTAGCAAGGTCATGATGCCGTTAACATCTTGAAGTGGACGCAGAAACCGGTCTTCCTATCTACTTGTAGCACACACTGAAACATTTATTTCGCTTACTTAAGAAAAACAGTCCAGTAATCCAGCATTGGCTGTTCCTCTAGATGAAAAAGTATGTATTTGTTTTAATAGGAGACAGTTTGCACCAAGCTTCAGTGGCATTTACGTTTTTTGTGACAGATCCTATTCTTAATAATAGATGCACCTTACACGGTGAAACGGGATGCCTTTGGACTCGATTTCTTCAGCATTGTCCCTCCTATAGTCCCAGAGAAAGAAGTCCACAAGGATGGAATTCACGGAACTGTCAAAATCCTTTTGGAGGATATCGCGAACTAACTGGAAATGTAATAACTTTCTGATGTAAGCAGCTCGGCAGTAATCTGAGACACCTTGAAGTCAGATCATCCATCTACAACCCATATATATCGTTCTTTAGTGTATGTTATTATACGTTTGCGTTGAACAAACATTCTTGCGCATATTCATAAAACAAAGTCCCATTTTTTCTGTAAGAAATAATTGCATCACTGTTTATGGCTTTCATTAGCATGTACTGGTGCATCATCAGATTACCAATAGTTCATAATAAGTGAGAAGAGGTTTAGTGACGCATACGAACATGCAGAAAATTAGAAGAGTCAAAGAGGACGGTATGAAGTACCTCACAAGCATAGATAGTGACTCCGCGAATTTCGCAAACTTCTCGGCTGTCATTTTCAAGCAACTGGTCTTCCTGAAGACGAGCCATCAACTTAGGACTATATTCAATCGCTCCAAGGTACACCAACACCTGTATATATGAAATGGAACCAATTTTATGAATTAGTGTATAAATTCATTTTTCGTAACTGGACGGCGACTTTCGCAGTTACTATGGTTACGGAGAGACTTGGACTTCGATTTTTATTCTTGTTTTGCTCAAATTTTTTAAGATTTATGGGTTTACAGCGCACAGAAACAGCGAAATGTTCATACGGCAGGAAAAACCTTTGTTTTACACAACGTAAAGGTTTCCGTTCTTCCGAGTTGCTCCTATAATATATGAGCTTAGTAATACATGAATTTCTAAACATTTTGAACGTTATCGCTATAATAGAGAACGATGCCTTAGGAGTGCGGTTTATTATAATCCTATACGCTTACAATAAATCGCATTTATCCCTGTGGTAGTTGCGTTACCTCGATACTATGAAAAGAGCATTATCATATTAAAAAAAAGTCTATTATTAAAAGGACACTTTATATCGTGACTTTAACATTTATGTGTATAATCTGAGAAATGTGATATTCAGGAAACAGCCTGCAATAAGTACGATTGAATTTACGGTTTAAGCAAACTTGGAATCACTCGTTCTTTAGTAAGACAGATTTTTTGTATAAATAAAAAGTAAACAGTCTTAGTAAAACAGATTGTTTGATAAAATCAATAGTTACCTAGACGAATCATATTGACATACCTGAGGAACCCTATAATCAGCGAAAATGGTTATATCATCAATGTTGTAGAACTCTCCTAACGATTGGCCTTCAAAACAGGCCCAAAGGTCGGCCACTAAAATCTGTGCACGTTTATAAAACGACACTGAGAGAAACGAACAGAAAAAGAAATGCGTTTTGATACAACTTATTGGTAAAATTAGATCAAATTATCGGATATTAAAGAATGTCTCCGACGACTATTCAATACTGACTAATGTATGCGTTGGTATTTGACCAGCAATGTCACTTCTATTCTTACTGAAATTCTCATGAAATATTCAGTTAGGATATAATACTCTCCGGTATTCTCAATACAGCAACCAAATAGAACAAAAAGTGCTGAAAAAAAAACTGCTTTCATCTTCGATTGGTTCATGCCTTTCTTGCTCTTGTAGACTGCTTCATCTCGGAAGGAGGGAAATTCATTTACTAATAGCGAAAGCAGGCCCAACGCGTCGCTCTTGCATGCCCGAATACAATTGACGAACTTGCCGGCATATTTCTGGAAAACAAAATAGAACAAACATTACTGTAGCACTGGATCACGCTTAGGCGTAGGAGGGGTGATTTTACGGATGGGAAACTTTAGATGGGAACGAGTAAAAACAATAGATTGTTGTAGAACCGAAGTTTGTCAACAGCAACAGTGGCCACGGCAGAGACTGCATCTGTACATTATTACACAACTGACGCGATAACGATTTTGATCAAAAACTGTGAGCGATGTTTAGTTACCTCTTTCAGAATGGCGCCAGCCTGGTGGAGGATTTCGAGCCTTTGGTCAAATAGAGGTATTTCGCTTCCGTTGTTTGACCGAAAAATCATTTTCAGTTGTTCCTTGCTTACGGTTGAATAAAATGAAGCTTCAATCATTGGTATGTTTTCCTAAAAACCGAGGATACAGGTTGAAGACCACCGGCAAGTTAGAAAGACGATTTCCTGTTTTATTTAAGAACCGTGGTAATAACTGTATTCGTTGAAATTTATGTAGATAAGAATTGTATTGTGATGTAACGAAGCCTCCACAGCCTAGCAAGTTTTTCAGTTATTCAAGGGTCCTTTAGCGTTATGCCAACATGAACTCTGCCATAAAATGGGGCTGCTTAGGCTCGCTAAGTATTACAATAGAAAACTTTTGCTCAGCTATATTATTCAAAGAAAAGAAAGAACTAATATTTGCAGAATTGATCGTAGCGTTTATCTTACATAGCTGCTCGCAAATTATTATGGACCTAAGCTAGGATTTGTAACCCTGTAGAGTTCAGGGTCCTATAGTGGTATACGTTGACAATATAACTGGCTGTCGCCAATCGACTTATGTGTTAATGAAGCCCACCAATGTTGACCATGACTACTGAAAGGAGAAGAGTGCATGTGATATGGTAGATCGACGGGACTGTTTTTTTGTATCAATGACTTTTCGCAGAGATGCGTCTTCCGTCTTCAAGCTTACATATATCCAATAACACCTGAAGAAAGTCTCCGGCCGAAACCGCTCGTCTGGCGTACATACACGTATATCAAACGCTATCTCGACAAAACAACTGCTTGATTGAATTTGATATATTAGACCACTAAAGTCAGAGCATTTTATTTTCAGTGAAAGAAACGCCAATCAAATTGAGCCCTTGTTATTTCATTATCGCAATATGATTATAACATATGGTGTGTTGTGTTGTTTTTAAATTTGTTATTATGTTATGATTTTCAACTCAGTGTTTTTTTTTTTTTTGGCAATAATTCGCGGTTTTCGAGTTTGATGAAAAATTCACTCCCCTAGCACATCTCTAGTGAATAAAACTACAGCTATAATATAAAATACCGAAGTCTTGCGAGACTGCTGCGACGAAAAGGTGGTTCGAGTCCTGAACAATTTTAAAGTTTTAATTGGCCTAGTGACCAATTTGGATTCAGTGATGAAATTCATACCTAGTCATACATAATAATGAAACTTCTAAACAGAAACAGTAATCATTCTCTAAAAAAAAAAACCCTGTCTTGAGTTATTATACATGTGTATGGGCGAATTCTAAATAAAATACAAATAACTGTTTGAACTTTGTCCGATATCGTTGTTAAGTATCGCTATAGATGACTGGCTCTCAGCACAAAACGACATGTCTCGTTCGTTGGAAAATTTTTTTGCCGGCACTTAGTGGCCTAAGCCGTTATTTTGACCAACCTGAATCTCTTCTATAAGAAGACGAACCAATGCATACTGTTCGAGAAGTCGCCTAGCCTGCTAGAGAAAGTTACGCAACCTACACAAAAAAACACGATGTGAAGCACTACTAATAACTTGCTAAATGGTTTAAGTCTCCGTAGGGTGCACTGTTAGCGTATTCAAGAAGTTACTTTCCAACATAACTTCTTCGTATCGTCTATTATTTAATAATGGTTCTATTCCAAACAGCGCGCATCCAAATTATATCGAATTAAAACCACCTACGATGAGCTTCTAGGACATTATGTAGCAGCATTATGGCAGGTAGCCATATTTTTTCTCAGATCAGATACTATTAAGAAACTTGTACTTATGCGTACGACAGAAGTATCTTCATGACGTGTATTAACACGTGAACTCACCTCAAGCGCTCGGTTTACTGAAGCACAAAGGGACCAGTATCCATGATAGATCTTTCCGCCGTACTCAACCTGTAATTTTCGTGTTCAAGAATTATTTCGGACATTTTCTATCTAATATAAAAGTACCAATGATTCTGTTTAGGTTGCGAATTATAAAGTTTTTTGTTTTTCGTACAAGACATTGTATGATTGACACACACACACACACACACACACATACACATGAATACTTGAAACCCGACAAATATGCGTACTCTTGCGTACCGATGGGGTCGTGATAAGCAAAATTTCACCTTCGTATCTGAGGACCTGTCCACTACCGGAATTAGTTATCACAAAACACTCGTAGGTACATAAGTTATACAGGCCAAAGTTCGAATGCTTTGTTTAGCTCATATTTACCGTACCCGATCTTCTGTATGTGCATATACTGCTACATGTTTAGAATATTCCATTTATGGTCTTACGCGTTCTCGCTTCCATGCTTCGTGCAATGTAGCATTATAAACCATAAAACAGTAAATACACTAGTTGTCACGACGAAACGAAATAACTACATATTTGAAGAATGGTAAACCGCGATGGAGCTCGCATAGAATGACCACCTGATAAATAATCATAAATATTTTTGTTGATATGGAACCAAAGGGCAAAGTAAAACGATACAATCTTCACAGTTAACAAGAGTTATAAGATTTTCTCATACACCGTAGGCAAACCCGGCGGTGGTATTTTACTCCGTATATGGCCTAAGAATTTGCTTGCGTGTAGTGGCATACTTCGAAGCTGCTCATTTACTTCGATTAAATATGATACAATAAACCCAGTAAAGAATCGTTTTGCTGATAGGCTCACATAAGAACTCCATTTCCGATTCAGTCGATGAGTTGTCAAGCAAACTTGAGATGCTTCTGAGTTGATTTTTCTGGCGTTGTTCGTGCAGAAAGCGGCAGTTATGTATGTTTGGAAAATAGAACCTAAAAGGACCCGCGTTATTTTGTATCATCCTACTTTGGACAAGTTTATAGCTTCATCGCTTCCCTCGGTTCGTAAACAGTGCCGAACATCTTTCGCCATTAAGCATACAAATAGGTGCCGAAACTTGCAGGACAATGCAATATGCTTTCAAATTTTTTTGACGCTAAAAAAGAGCGTCCCTTTGATGAGAACATTACGCCAGATGAGCATGGCTAAACTTTAATGGCGCAAACGTTGAACGTTTACGGCTACATAAACGTAAAATAAGAGGTCGTGAAGTGTTCGCAACGAGAAAGCTAAGGCACTCTGTTAGCTATAAGTATGTGGAAAGCTTTCGGTTCTTCGGTAATGCTGAAGCGAACGTGCGACCGAGGGTCAATTTGGTCAACTTCTTTTTTCTATCATGGGAGCACGACTTAATTTGAATGTGAAATGAATTTTTGTAGTCCGGAACTATTTGCCAGAAGTACGGGGTTAATACGTCAGAGGTTTTGGTCTCGGCGCAGCAAAAGAAGTGAAAGGAAGTGTTCGAACACAGTTTTTTGAGCAGATACAATTTACATTTGTTAAAATATGACAGTAATTAAATATTACAGACTTATAGTTCAAAATTGCGAAGTCTTTTTTACCTGTTTAAGTGCTTCGGCGTTTCGATATTTGCTATCATACATCTATGATCGGTATCCAACGTATATTCTTTAGAATCAAACCAGTCAAAAAAAACGAAGCAGCCTTACTTGGTAGTCTGTCGACCAGAACGAGAAGTTAAGGAGATCTACAACGAAAATCCATTCGACTGCTTGTTCGGTTGCTTGTTTTGGGTTGAGTGGATGCTGCTTCCAGTTTGCCACGCTGAAAGCATTGTTAGAAACTGCCCCATGGATCTTAAACGGAACAGCATTACTTAAGTTGTATTGGTAAAATTAGCTTCGCGTTTTATGTTGTACTCTATATGCTTATGACCTTTAAAACCATCTATAACTGTGTCTATGATTGTGCAGCTGATATGGTATTGAATTGTTCTACTGCTTCACGATATTTAAAGCATGTTTAAGGAAAAGTTTAACTTGATTTTACAGACATTAGCAATCGGCACATCGTCATTGTATGAGGACTTGCTCAGCGATTTTGGCTTTCTCTCAGAGAGAATTCAAGGAGAAGCTATGAACTTTTTTGGGGGCCGGGAAGGGGGGTCGGAGAGTAACACGGAAATGATCGAATGCAATGTACTGCTCAGCATTTATTATAATGATACTCACCATATTTGCAACAGCCCTTAAACCCTCCGTTTTGACGATCACGTCCTCAGCTTCGCCTGCGATAAAAATTGCGCTCTGACGCGGTCCCAAAATGTCATCACGGGGATGACAAGCATTCTGCGGATTCATCGTGTGTTGTAACGCACACTGATAGAACTGGATACAATCTACAAACATTCAACAGTGTCTACACAGATACACACATACATAAGACATAACGAAATAACAAATCAGAAAATGTGAGAGCTTTTTATATTTATAAAGACTCGTTTACTTTTGTGATAATCTCTATTGTTCTTGGCTCAGTTTTTCCTTGTGAAAACTACATGTCATCGTAAAATTTCTTAGACCTCTTAGTGCCTCATATAGCACATGTAGCAATAGCAGTAACAATAAGAACACTGTGAATGGAATTTTTACGGCGCTTGATCTCAGTCTAGACGAAATAAACCTGAATGTACTATCATAGTCATGTCCGATGGTTGACAGGCCATACGGTGTTGCGCACATCGCGTGCATACAACTCTTACGCGTACGATGCATGTGCAAACAGGACCAGTTCCCATGCATTATTTTGTCACGTGCACACGAATAGTTGCGTTTGCACTCTAAACACAAATTTATCTAGAGCAAAGCAACGAATCGTCGATGAGCATTTGTCGCAAGGAACGATTACTCTTAAGTATTTTAGAAGGAAATGAGTCTGACCTAGACTCAACAGGTGAACTTACTGCTCTTTCATAAGGGCGGCTATAGAGGTTTAGCTATTTAAAACAACGTCTCCATGAGGAGCGATCACTTGGTGGGAATTATTCAATGACGAGATTCGTTGCTACAGATAACGAAAAATTTCAACATCGTCGTCCTTTTCTGCCTGCGCCCTTATTTGTTCACAGCTATCACTTCCATTGCTGTGATCTTTGCAACCACAAGGCTTCGATGTGTTCTGGAACACTTTTATTTTCGTCTCGGCTGGACACCCTCCAAGGCTTCCAGGAGACACATTCGAAGCGTTTTCACGGAGTGATGCTAAGCCATATGAAAAGGAAAGAGACCACTGGGGGGATCTGTAAGCTGACAGTCAGCATTATTGCAGCCGGTATGGAGTGGCAATAAAAACCTCAGCATGATGATTTAGTATGGAAGGTAAAACGGGGACTGAGAACATCCGGTTATTAGACCATTGTATAAGCCTTCGGATAGATTGTAGATCTATCCGAAGGTTTATAGGCAACGAACGTTACGACATGAAAGAATAAAATTCTAGTGGCGTGAATGTATTGTGCAATGCGAACGACAGGAATACGTACAAATGCTACCTTGAGTCAGCTGCCACTGCATGCTTAAGTTTCAGACATTTCTATTTTTTGAATATATACGGCAAGGTCTATAGTTGTCACAATGCGGTAACACGCTTGAAATGCAATACGCTATAGGGGAAATGACTATACATTTTAGGCTCCATATTTCTAAAGCCTGAACACAGGCGTTGTAAAATACAAATGTAAGTCCTAGTGTGCTGTGTAAAATAAAAGTTGATCATGCAGGCTCTAATAGGCCCGTCGTAATAGGCAATTATGGTGCGTTCCACAATTTTCCAAGCTTCATGGGTCCTACCGATACCGATTAGCTCACGCAATACACGTAAAAGGTCTACGGTTGTCCAGTGTTTCATGAACGTATGTTGTTCATTTTTACGATAATATTTCGCTTACTTGTAGAATCGCATTAGTTTTCTACCTATATTTATATATTGTCCACAAAAAATAAAAGCTCAACGAAGCATGCCGTTATACTGGCCAGTCTTCCCTTACAGAAGAGCAACAATTGTAACCAAGACGACAGGTTGATAGCAACTGTCTATCGGTATTTAACTTGTCTCCTGTTTTTTATTTCCTTATCTCGAGGTGCTCGCTAAATAATAAAGGAGAATGTTTCTGACTATGTATTTCTTCATTAAGAAAAAGGTCGTATTATTTGCATATAATAGTGATATGTCTTCTAAAAGCGCATGCTTTCTTTTTTTTCTTCATCTTGCTACAGTGACAAAGTAATAGGTGGTTCTCCCATCGGCAGGGCCACTGATAAATCCATATAAAAATCTGATGAAGTGACACTGGGGACGCAAAAGTGTTACCGACTCCAAGTTCTTTCCAGTAGCAATCGCGACACTGAACAACACGCATGGACGTCGTCCTCTGCTGCTGTTTTCACCGTTGTTAGATCAAAGGTAGGTAGAGAACCGCAGCAGCAGTAGGAAGTATAGACAGGAACTGGCATCGCTTTTTACGCTGAATCAACTGTTGTCCCGTACGTCGTTGTAATGGCGTCCGCGGCGCACTGATAAGACTGCTTAGCTACTTTTACTACAACTACTCGCGCTAGAGCTAGTGTAGCCCCACAGTTTGGCAGATTGGCGGGAAGAAAGGTAAGCAAGCAGGCAATGTCGGCCAACATCATCGGCGCCGATGAGCGTCGATAGGTGCAAAAGCGGCTTCATGCTGGTCGAATTACCACGCTCCTGTTGCTGCACAGACACCTCCCGTTATTGTCAGCGTCAAGAGCCTTCCCAGTGAACATTGCCAGTAGCAATGACTATTCGCAAAGCGCCTGTCTATCTGTTTCGGGCCAACCTGTCACTCTTGTACCAGATGCTCCATTAGTTCCGACTGGCTGCGCCGTTTCCCATGCTCTAACGCTTGAGACAGCATACGTGGTATCGATTTCTAGCCAGGTACTTCTAGTACCCACACAAGCCTCTATCCAGTATCAGTGCCATCCCACGACCTCACCATCAGCAACAGAAGCAAAGCTTGAATCTGCGGGTAACAGAACACAATCCTGAATTCCTACTCAGAATATATTAGCATCTACGTATAATTAATTATACTAGCACTTTTAGAACGCGATAATGTCGATTACGAAACAGCGAATGACATAATTAAATTAAATTACACTAAAGCGTCTATTGTAGGCACTAGTAACTGCAATATTAATGACCAGTTAGTTAGTTGATAATTGGTCCATATCGTAGCGCAGAAGCGATCGTAAAGCAAAAAGCCATGAAGGGCACCGTGCATTTGCCGTGTATGGCTTCGTTACGGGAGACTGCATCACAGGCCTGGAATTGGCTAGCTGTAAAGAGAGGTCACTGCGGCCTTTCTTCTTACCGGGTTTCAGGAGGGGCAAACAAAACCAGACTCTACCAATACCGCTGAGGTCAGCACACTGATGCTTTCAACGCATCATGGGCAAGGGAACGCCATATATGTGTCACTCCCTCATAGCTTATACTCATCCACTCAACGAAAGATGTCGCGGCCCGCCAATACGGGAGCAGCCTCTATCTATCGCTTTAGTATCTTGTTTGTCTGCTTACTTGATTAGCGTGTGCGATGAGCTGGCTGCACGGCAGGAATCGCTTTCGGCGTTGACCGACCGCTTCTAAAGTAACCTAAGCAGCTGCTGTTACTTCCAGCCGGACCAGTTTGCTTCTCTCAAATCGTAATGAAGTACTGACGTTTATAATTTGACCACTGGAATTATCGTTTGATTTCGCGAAACCCCCGGAGTGACATCACATCAGCCCAGAGATCAAACACTGCCGCTGCATGATTCAGCGTCGCAATAGAGGTACGCGTATGCGAGGCCAAACACCCGCTACGTACTGCATGCGCACTACTCTATCACCATTTGGTAGAATTTAAAACGTACATGATAGCCTACGCACAATGGAGCGTCGAAACACATAGGTTACATTTTGTTTCACACGCGAACGTATGTAGACGGAATATTGCTTCAACGGACATTACATTTTCACATTTAAAGGTTACTTAGATGACAATGTATTATTGAGACTTATATTGTAGCATTTGTTCCATGAAAAGAAAGCGACCTCTTTGAATAGTTTCTTACTTCGCCGCATATTTAAGGTAGGTAACTTGAACGATTTTTATTTGATTGAAATGATTATTGCGAGGCATCCATATTTCTTGAGATGATTACTTAAGCGCCGAATCCCTAAGAGACGTTAAAGCAGTGGGTGACCTATTGAGTTGAGTCACATCCAGTGCTGTCTTCATGTTCCTCATTATCGCTGTTGTTGTTGCACCCTCTCCAGGGCCTTCTGCCATCTTTATCTGCTGAGACAATGAAGCCAAGTACAAAGGATTCTGTCCTCGACAAAAGTGCCAGTAACTGGCCCAGAAAGTATGTTCGTTAGTAATCCCTAGATCAGCTCTTTGTGTTGAGAAAAATCTTACGACCCAACATTCGATGCAAACGCCTGGCAATCAAACGCAAATGGCTCCGCTGGTTCTGAAGGCTCTGTTGTATGAAACAGCTCAATATGAACGAGCCTCTCTTTGTCGAGACTCAAACGAATATGAACGAGAGCTTTGTCTGCAATAGCTATCGTAGTCGTAATCATATGTAGCACACATAATGCAACATTGCAAAAATGAGGATTCCGTTCTTGACAAGCTATGCCCCAGCCTTTTAGCAAACGAGTGGACAAGGCCATCGGGGAAGGAAATTGGATCTACGTAGGAAAACGATAAGGTTCAGATAAGCAGTACCAGCAGCAGTGGTGGTGGTGCCAGTGATGGTTCGGAGTTCCGGAGCATTGTCGACGAATAAGGCCGACGACAGCAGCAGCAGCAGCAGCAGCAGCAGCAGCAGCAGCAGCAGCAGCAGCAGCAGCAGCAGCAGCAGCAGCAGCAGCAGCAGCAGCAGGCGGCCATAACGAACCCTCCTCCTTTGGGTCGCAGAGCCCTCTGGCTTGACTGTGGCCGTTCTCACACACACATGCAGTGCGTTTCTTTCACGAGCAGACCTGGCCTGCAAGGCTCAAGGAGAAGCAGGGCTCAATAGAAGTAATAACTAGGGATACAGAAAGGGCCTCGCAGCCAGCGATGTGGTAGCAGATGACGCCGGTACATCGAACAGCGAAAGCAAGATAATGCTGTGGCGGTGATCTGACAGCCAGCTCCGTGCATCCATCTCTTCCGACACTCGAGTACGCAGCTACTCGCTATGGAAGAGAAACAGCTGACACTACTAACGAATATCGAGATTGTAGGGCTTTCAGTTTTACCAACGATCGGCGTCCCACCTTCACCATTATCTCTGCGTTTCTAGTTTGCTTGAAATCTAAAGTGGCGATGCGAGTTCATGCAAGAGGAGATTCGCAGCGGACTCCAGTACAGTAACGCCACCCTACAGCTGATTGATTGGACTGCTGCCCTTTGCTGATACTGAGACTCATGCGAACATCATCGTTGCTACCGCGTCTTAATAAGAACCGATAGCAACGATGGTGCTACCGATTCTTCTAGCATAATGAAAACGTTGCTTTGAATTTCTAGAGACTAAGGCCCGTCTTTGGTAGTTTTCGTCGTTCCAAAGAACAATGGCGTCACATGATATATCATTCATCATTAGACGAAGGCTAAGATTTGTCTATGACTGGTTTGCGTCAGTGTATATATATACACATATATGTGTGGATGTGTGTATATAGCAACCTAGTTTATGAGGCGTCGCGCGACACGTACTAGTTCATTTCCTTGCACACTTGCAGTAATAGTTTACTAAGTGTGACTTGAATTGCGTGTTTTGAAGCTTGAAATCGCGTACGTGTTGCACAATGTTTTTTGACACCCTTTTGGGCATCGGGTTCATTACCACTCTTGCCCGAAGGTTATATGAATAGCCCCTCCCGTTAGTGTTTAAATTGTAATGATAAATGTGACCGCTTGGTTGTTGCTATTGTTGTCACGATTAAATCTTATCCGAAGCTCGTTCCTCCTCAGCTGCCTGTAAACATTACTTCACCTCTCCTATCTCGATGTTACGCGGCGTCCATCTAGCCGTTACGGTCCTCGATCAGTTTTTCCTCGTTGATCCGGTGCCGCCAGCTCTAGCAAGCCAGCTACCAGATCACGCCCACGGTGGCGTCTGGATCGACGCTGATGCGTAACTGGCTCAGATACGTGGATACGCGGACAGAGGGCTGTCGGCCGTCGTCGTCGTCGTCGCCGCTCCTTCTGTCTCTCTCTCTCCTCCCTTTCTCTCCCTTTCTTCGAAGCCCTCCACTTTCTTTCGTAAGTTCTCGATCGTTTAGCAACGCCAACGGCGTAGGTATCGTGGGGAAGGACCTCGGGGAGGTTGGTTGTACCTGCGGTATTCGACTTCGTTCGGCTCTCGGGAGGTCAATTGAATACCTACAGTCTGTAGATTTGAACTGCCTATCTACTTCTTCCGTAGCTAGTGCTCTTGCTATAGGCTTAATCGTTGGGCTTTTTTTAGTCTACGTTGGGTGCCTTTTTCCTTATCCTCAAGTCCTCCAGGTTTATTGGTCGAATCTCATTGTTGTTGCTGTTGTTGTTGTTGAAAATGAGTTTCTTGCTACAGGTGGCTCAAGTAGTATAACTGCATACGTCAGCTGTTGTTGTTGTTGTTGCTAGTGCTGTTTTCGTTGTTAGGCCCGTTCGTTGTCGTGTGGTCGTTTCTGCTGTTCGACGTAGGCCTTGAGCAGCCTCCACCGTCAACACCGCCAAACGCACCGCTGCCTAACCGGCTTTCTAAATCCGTCGCTGCTGCTACCGTCGCTGCTGCTACCGTCGCCTGCCTGTTGTGTGATGATTGTGCTGGTTGTCGACAAAAACGAGGGGCGCCACTGGTGTGCGCCGGCACAAAGAAGATGTGCGTATAGCGCAGAGACAGGCGGCCCGCGTCCAACCATCCCTTCTAGTGCATGCTCTATAACATGCTTCTACGGGCCGGTGCCGTTGGCTGTCTGCTGCGGCTGCTGCTGCTGCTGCTGCTGCAGCCACCGCCTGACGGCGGCGGCGGCTATCTGCTGCCTGTGCACGCTGATGGTGGTGGAATCATCGTGTTTGCTAGCGCTTGCTCGTTGGCGACGGTGGTCGTAATGCCGGCGGTGCTGGCTGGCTGGCTGGTATGTTCAACTGCGTTCTCGCTGACCGCTTGCCGGAGTCAACAGCAGCAGTTCAACGCTACAACTCAAAGGAAGGATCCATGAACGCGACCGAGCCACCGATCGAAAGACCGGTGAAACGACCGCCTCTTAGGTTGAGCGCAAACAAGCAAAAGGGATACGGGCGGGCCAGCCTGATGACGACATGACCGACCATCGAGGACTTGGCTTTGTTTTGGCCTGCTGGATGATGATGATTGCGACGACGACATGACGACAACAACGACGACGACAACGATGACGACGACGAAAGATGAGAAGCAGGAACAGCAACTACAGTGACGACAACGGCAAAGACACGTCGCCTAGCCAAGCACACGATGATGACTACTTCCACCATCGCCGCAGCGCCCCTCTTATCACGGTTCTTTGTAGATTTAGTAATTTATTCTAGCAGCAGAATCAGTAAGAATTGCTCTAGCAGGAACTCCTCGACGCTCAACGATCATTTTCGTGAGACTCGACTGACTAGGATAACCCAACGAAGGGAAAGCAAATGCCAAAGATTGATCAAGTCGTCGTTTGACTCGTTCGGCACCGACCCAATTCGCTCGCTAGTAAAGTGCTGCCGATGCCGACCGTATGTCATTTAAGGCTATCAAGCAGCTGTTTCCAGAGGAAAAGACAGAATAGTAGAAAATTGCATTTTCCTTTGCTGTACAATGCAGGGAATAGTTGAAGATGCTGCGATGTCTGTTTATTCCCACTACTGATGCTGCTGGAATCCAGAGCACGCATGCATGTTGGTTACTGCTGCTTGGTGTCAGCTCTGCTCAGTGGCCGCCAGCGTGGCTGGTCTGGCCTCACGAGTAACAACAACAACAACCACAGGCGGGCTCCGGGCTGAAGAGAAACGGGGCGAAAGAGAAGGACTCCGCCAACAGAATGGTGGTGATGGGTACGGCGGCAGACCGTCCGTTCGGTCTCCGAGGACCGGACGAACGAGTCAGTGACGAGCGACGACAGTCCGAGTTTCCTTCGAGCGACGCGGAGAGTGTTCGTTGTCCATTGTCTGGTACATTCATTGCTTGCGGCGTCTTTTTCGATGATCCGTTCACAGCACTGATACGGACTGGGACAGCGCTTGAATCATCAGACGCAGACGCAGCTGCCGTGTGACCAGGTGCAGCGCAGAGCGACGCAATGCCGGCTTACGCATTCCAATAGAATTCTGCAGTGAATCAATTCTGGAGACGTTTCCTCACATGGGTCGATAAAGGACCGAGATGATACGGCTGTACGTAAGCTTCTTGTTGAAGGCAAATGCTTGTAGCGTCACTGGCTTGGGATGCATGTGTTGTTACATCTGAGAGAAATCTATCAAACTACTGAACGCTAATCAGATGGAGTTGAGATTTTGTGGTCTTGATGGTCTCTTCTCTACCCACCCACTATACACTTATTTATGTTCGAAACACGCTTATTTTTTACTTGGCACGCTAATGGCTCCGCAAACAACTTTTCTCTAATTTAAGTAACGAGATCTTAGGTAAACACTTGCTGCAACGGCCAAGATTCTAATGATAGTCAATTTAATAATTTTGCTTGAGGCGGTACTAGCGTATTTATCGATAGATGGAGATTCGCCAGTTCAATCAATTAATTGTCTAACTAGCTAACCCGTCATCTAAGACAGTAAGAACCAACTAAAACTTGAATGAGTTATTTGTGT